GATGACTTCACTCAGGTATAAACGCAGACAGCGGCCAGTCCAAGAAGTGATGTTGTATTCTGTTTGGTAACTTCCTATGAATACATTGTTGGTGTCCACGTGTGTCTTCTGGCCGCATTGCTTTTCCATGAACACTTTATCTTGTTACCGTAATTTTTGCCCACCCTGTAGACTCCGTTGAGGCCGTTCTTGAAGTGTTCGTACTCCTTGACTTTTTCTCTTGCAGCTGCAGCTTCAAAGCTGTGAAAGGGATAGTTCAGTGGACTGGTATATGTTGGATGTGGTATTTTGGTCCAGTTAAGTCCCTCTAAAACATAGTGAGCTATCAATGCAAGTGATGACGGGCGTTCACATTGACGGAGGAAATTTTGAGATGTACATAGTACGTCGGTTTCGTCGCGCTGCGGCCATTAGCCTCTGTAGCAATTACAAGATGGCATTCGCAATACCTGTCTGCATACAGAAATAGTAAAACAAAACAGTTACCAAAACAAAATATCCAGGGAATCCAACAAATCAAGAACAGTATCCCCCAAACATAGGGCTCGGACACCGGCTGGGCTGGGGGGTCCATCAACAGGTCACGTGTTGTTGTCGTGGTGAACTCATGATTCATCTCCACTGCTGATCGACCAGGGAAAGTTCTAGCTGTGCGGTCGCAAGAATGAAATTTTCGCAGATGGTCTCGCGTGGTTCTCGGTCTTGATCGACCACAGGTATCTCAATCAGGTTGCGATCAGCGGTACTTTGGCTGTCCATGTGTTTTGCACCATACCTAGGTGGTAGCGTCTGAATGCACTTCCAATTCATGGCATTAGGGTCTTGTTGAATGTGATGGAGGTTCAGGATGAGCTTATCCTTTACAGCTCGTACCGCTTTCGTCGCTGCGACTGAACCACTAGCTCAGTGCCCTATCAGCAAAGGAGACTGAGATAAACACAGCGCTGACATTCCCCTCCACGTCCTGTAGTGTGACTGAAATTTAAAAGAACAACCTTTCACTATTGGCCCTAGGATATATTTCCTAGTCAAATACCCCATTGCGGACTTGACTTTCTAAGTCCTCCTTGCTAGAAACCTTGATACATTCTTCGAATGTTCTAAGTTCCACAATGCTACTGATTTGACTTGAAGAAGTTTGATTTTGAACAAAAGCGGACAGAAATCACGGGACATCTCAAAGGTAAAGTAGATTTTGAGAATTTTTGCTCTGATTGATTTCTGAATACACAGCGTCACTCAGTGAAGAATGAAGCGGCGATCTGAACGCGAGAATCCAATCTCTGAATTAATCCACTTAATTTCATTTGATTAAAATTATAAGTGGTTTAGACATTCGTGCACGCCATTTTCTAGCAGATACATATTATATTTGAACGTAGCTGATGGCCGTGTTTTCAAGAGATCGAAGCTTTATGAAGTCTGATTTACGTATTTTTCATATATAATAACTGACTTAGAGAAAGGCTCTACATCTGGACACTGTACACAGTAGACAAAACAGGAAAACAGAAATTATTTTGAAGTAAGGGACCAATCCTTGCGGTAATTACCTCTACTTTCGATAAATACCGGCGATTTTCTCCACGTCGAAGCCTGCTTGTTCCAAGACATTGTTTTCTGTCAGGCATAGTCTGATTTTTACTTAGGTTATGCCCACAATACGAGCACTCGGAGACACAATCTTATAATTAGCCTATTGGTGGGTGGAGACCATTTTTGACCATTTTCAAACCTCTGCTGGAAAACCCACGTCTTTATTCCACTGCATTTGATTTCGTAACAGAACATCTACCATTCATTTATGACGCTCTCTATATAAGACGACTGTGACCAAATCACACGCAATTCGATTTGTCAAATTATAATTTGTATTTTTCTCATCGATTGCGCTGTGTTAATTTGGCCACGCGCATTACGATGAACAAATCCGAATGAGTAAATGACTCGACCGATATTCATCCTGGGTCGTGAGTCGCCCGGGCCAACCAAGCCTTCCATCCCTCCGGGGTCGGTTAATTGGTACCAGACTTGTCTGGGAGGATAAAAACACTGACTTGACATCGGCTGGCCCCCGCAAGTCATTGTATAGGCCATCATCGCATTCAAACGCCACTACGAATGTACAAATGGAAGTAGAATGCGTGCCGCATCCCAAAAAGGGATTGATCAACGGCAAATGCTTTATCCTTCATGCTTATGCTTATTAACCCTGTTCCAGACTATCTCTGAAAGGAGGCCAAGACTGAAACTTGTACTGCTTTAATATTCCATCCACTGCCGAAATGAATCAGGCGATTCACGTTGCCTGCCAAATAATGTCGGCTTTTTCCATTGCTGTAAACCTGTTTTTTGCTTTACGTCTACTTTCGATGTACTCTGAGAAAAATCAACTCCTACAAGTACTTCTTCCTAATGACTGCGATTTATGGCATACTATTTTCTGTATGTCACATACTTCTAGTTCCTGTGAGTTCATTGAATACAAAAATGATTACTGTACGCTGAGCCAGGGGTTTATCCTTTTGTGGTTTTAAATGAGGGGTGGCGAAAGTAATATAATCAAATCATACAGACGGCTTTTTTGAGGGCCAGTGCTTCCCAGCAGGAAACGCAGAAGATTTCCGTTTCTCTCAGGTTATTTCAATTAATGACTACTTCATCATTTTCGTCGCCTTAGGGCCTCTCCGCAAGCCACCATTCGGTCAATTACTATTATTAGTGTTCTGCGTGGCCTATATCGGATCTCTGGTGATTGTTACCAACAGCTTCGTTTATCGTTATTTGCAACTATGCAGGTGAGTAAAATGCATGCAGCATTTGCGCACCAAAAATGGTACATTGCTGAGATTTACAGTTGATTTCAGTGAAAATGAGGTTACCTAAAATAACAACTAATTGGACAGGAGAAAGGGCTCCACTACTAAGGGCGTATTTGACTTTGCCGCTACATCGTATTTCACGTTGCATGTGCACAAGTGCATCTCGCCCATTAGCTTATAGCTGCTCTCATTGGCTCACCTTTCAAGGTTCTACCGTCTTTGTGGCGCGGTACAAGTCGCGACACAGGATTCGTGGGGAACTCTTTTCCACTCGAAGAATTGATTTATTCACACAACCTCATCCGGGGCCGCTTTAAAGGTATTCTGTTAGTGATGCAGTTTTTATACTAGAAAATGAAGCGAGAAGGCAGACTTTGCTGAAACGATGAGTTTTTTTCAGTCAGCTTGGAGTAAGAAGAATGCACATCAGAATAGAAGAGAGGGTACCACGTGGGTATGCTAGTCACGTCAAACACAGTGAAGCCTGCATTTTTTTAGGCATAAAATGTGCATGTTATCATCTCATGCAGCAGGGCCAAGATTGGCGCACTTTATCAAAATTACGCAACAATTAAAACGATGATTGTTTCAGAAGTGGAACTTTTCAAAGCTACTCGAAGGCGAGAGGACTCTTAATCGTTATTCTTTTCAATGCTGCGGTCATATTCAACTGGATAGTGATAGTCAAAGTCGCACTCTGGCCAACCACGTTGCTCTTTGAATACATCAAACAAGTTTTTCACGCTCGCGTTTGAATTGGATCTATCGGAATGCGCGTATATAGAGTTTTCCATGAAGGTTGGTTCATTGAATTCTATAGATTTCCTTCTTCGATTTCCGACCTCCGACAGTCTTATTGACCAATTTCCCCTACCAATACTACCAGATGCTCATCTCCTTCTTCTTCTTCTTATTCTTCAGCGTTTGTCCCGCTTGTTGGCGGGGTCCGCTTTTCTGATGTGCTGACGCCACTTTTCCCGATTAAATGCTTGGTCGGGGTGGATGTTAACCAACTTCAAGTCTGCGTGCAACGTATCGAGCCAGCGCTGTTTCGGGCGTCCCCTTAGGCCGCTTTCCGGCACGTCTATGTTGAGGCCGATCTTGCGAACACTGTCATCATTTCCGCGAAGAACGTGGCCATACCATCGAAGCCGGGCTTCGCGCATTTTATCAGCAATGGGAGCTACACCAAAGCGCTTCCGTATGACATCGTTCGAATGCGATCTAATCGCGTGACACCAGCCGTCCAGCGCAGCATCTTTGTCTCCATTACACCGAGGCGAGTTTCAATGTCCCTGGTCGCTGGCCAGCACTCAGCGCCACCGTCCTTTGGATCTTCGTTTTTTGAGGCGTCGTGTCGGTTGTCAGGTACTCAGTCTTCCTAACGTTCAACCTGAGTCCGAACATCGCTAGGCGATCGCACCAAGCTTGCGCTTGTTGTTCGAGTACGTTTTTGTCTTCGCAGGCGAGCATCACGTCATCAGCATAGAGAAGCGTCCATGGAGCCGGTTTCTGAAGATCTCGTGAGATGGCATCCATGACGACAACGAAAAAGAAGTGGGGAAAGCGCAGAGCCCTGATGTACCCCAACAGAGATGGGGAATTCTGTCGAAACGCCAGCTGACGTTTGCACTCGGCTCTTTGGGCTTGAGTAGAGCATGCGAACCCACTCAAAAAGCTCTTCGGTATATTATTTATAGATATACATAATATACCGAAGAGCTGATAATAAGCATGCGAACCCACTCCAATAGCTCTTCGGTATATTTGGTATAGCTCATATTATGTCGCCAGATGCTCCATCGTGGCGACATAATATGGTCAAACTAGAGATGTGCAAGACAAATGCGTGCACAAGTGAGAAGAGGGATGGGGTACAATGAGGAAGTCACTCCCCTAGCAGTTGACTAATCTTCGTTAAATTCAAACTGAATGACTCAGGTGATAATTGAAGAGCATATTCCATAGAAGTCGATTAAGACCTGTTCTCTAAGCGAGCACGAAACCCATCCAATAAATCCAATACACATTAGGGGCAGTAAAAAAGGGAGTTACTCGAATACAAGTCTTCAAATTGAGTACTAAAGACTACACTTCCGTATATCAAAAAAACTTCATGATATCTTTCTTACCACGACGACATCAGAAGATTTTCAAACGGGAAACTGTGTACGATTCGAACTCAATGAGGCCCTCGACTGAACTTGAGTTATTGCAACCTTACCTTAAACCTTGGTTAGAAGGGATGTTGCATACAGATACTGTATCTGGAGGCCTATTTCTTTGGCAAGCCGATAAAAAAAATATGAAACAGCTTAAGGCTGGAGCTAATACGAGCTCGCGGTGATATAAGACGACATCATATTCTACGGACGCTGAGGGCAGGAGGGGAATCTGCTTCTATCTATATGGGGACGCCTAAAAACTATTTGAAGTAAAACTTCCATCAACAGCGACACTAAATGCGACGAAAAGTTCGGTGATGAGCGAACGGGAGAAAGGACTCCCTTTTTTGGGTCCCCTACCCTCTGTTCATAACGTGGATAATTTAATCGTACTGGTTGCGGTAATTAAAGATTTCCTCTCGAAATCGAAATACCTGTAACCCGAAATACTAATGCTCTTTGCCTCCTTTTTCTTTCCCGTTTTCCTTTTCAGACTCCAGCACGCTCTTAGCCAATATTTGATAACAACTTTTTTCAGTTTAGTATTACTGCAATCAACCTAACGTTATTCGTTGACCTGTTAGTGGTGTTGGTGTTGCTGGCAACCATTGTGATCTATTCTGCGGTACAAATTGATGTCACTCTCAAGAAAGGAACGTTCAGTAATGCATTACGAAAGCTGCATCGACAAATGCTGAAGTTACTACTTTTGCAGGTATGCATAGAAATGTTCTCTTAACACTATG